TGAGGTCTGAAACTTCCCGAAATCACAAAAAAGTTCCCCTACTGGGTCTGTATACTTCGTGACTTTGTTCCCGGTTACCGGGTCTACTTCATTGAAAGTATGACATTTGTTCTTTTCTTCAAATTGTCCTTTCCTACAAGTCCAAAACGGAGGAAAAACGATCGTTCATCGGCAAGACATCGCCATCTTCATTTATCTAGGCCTCGAAACTAGATCTATGATTTATGTCTGTCTGTCTAGATCTTCTAAGGTAATATAGATATATATTATATATGACATGTAGATAAACCTAGGACTAGTTATCTACCCTGAGCCAAGAGGGCGCTGAAACTTTCCGATATCACAAAAAAAAATTCCCCTACCGGGTCTGTATACTTCGTGACTTTGTTCCCAGTTACCAGGTCTGTATACTCTCCCTTTTTGCAATTAGGTTTGATTGGCTATCTCTCTCCATAGAGGCCTATCGGCACGCGCATCAAAAAGTAATCGTTTAGAACCAGAAGTAATCGTTGGTGGGGTCAAAACGAGTATCCCTAAACAGGGCCGCAATTGTACAGGAGTGCCGAAACTTAAGCATTCGGTACGGTACAACCAGAGAGGGTTTACATTAATAGAGAGTGACACTCGTGGCGGCGCTCCATAACAACAGTGCATTGTTTCGCGTATCACCCAGCTCGGGGTGCGAAAACACTTACGCCCGGTAATCGCTGCCACTGCGATGCTCAGTCAGGGATGCTGTCATGTCATGAGAAAATGTAGTCGTCTGTAGTTAGTTCACTGGGTTACTAGGCCTTTAACAAAGAAGGAGGCCTTTGAATTCTATCACATATTTTAGGCAACTCCCCTGCCTCCTTCGGCCATACTGTAAGACTTGTTTTTGGCTTAATTAAAAGTTAACATGCATTCTAATAAACAAATAGGCGCAGATACGTTACTTCGTCTCTATAGATCTGAAAAAATAATATTCCGTAATTAAAGGAATAATTGGTTTATTTTTCAGCCATTCTACTGGTTCTCCAGTGTCCCTCTAAAGTCATCTCTCTCTCTCTCTCTTTCTCTCTCTCTCTTTCTCTCTCTCTCTCTCTCTCTC